CTAGCCACCTGGCCATGCCGGGCGAATAACAATAGAAGCATTACCCAAACGTTTAGACGAAAATTTGGCACACAAGGTCGTTATTCATTAATGTCTACTTTTGGAAGAAATGAACATCCACGCATGTGAAAAAAAACTTCACTCGGTAGCTTTTGTTTTTGTTGTTGTTATTTTTAAAGCGAATCTTAAGTAACTGTACTGATTATTTATCAAGCATGAAATTTAAAATCGCTGACACAAGACTAGTACACCTAAAACATGTAACAGTCACACGGAAAACAATGTTTTATTGCTTGTTGTTTGATTCAATTCTTTTCTGACAAAAGAGTTCCAATGGTCTTAACTAACACTTACTATATTTATGAAGAGCACCTAAAAAACAAGTAGATACTAATTTGAAGAAAAAAATATATCAAAAGGATCTCGTTTTTATTTTATGATTTCGCCATAAAAGTGCATTTTGGCTGTATTATATAATTTACAGATATAACTTCAAATGTTCTGAAGATATTTTAGAAAGATAAGTAACAACACCATAATTAGATGAAATCAACCTAGCATGTAAGAAAGCATGAATAAATTCTGTTTTAACGTAACGTTCATATAATATATAAATCAGTTCAAAGTATTTTGATTTTCACTTCGTAATTCAATAAATATATTTTTTTAGTAATACAAATAATTTCATCAATGGAAGACTGACCAGTTTGATCATGAAAAAGTGTATCTATAACAAATAGTTAATGTAAAATTATTTAAATTTAAAGCTTAAACTTACTATTTCCATCCACGTACGGACTTACAAAGCTAAATAACGGGGTTCGATTCCCTACGGTGGACAGAGCAGATAGCCCAATGTGGCTTTGCTCCAAACCAAAACAAAGCATATATATATATATATTTCATGTAGTCATATTATATAGTTGTTATCATTTATTTGCAAATATTCCTTCAGACAATAGGTCAGGCGTGGCGAAGTGATTAACTTACTGGAATGTGGATCCGAGGGTCTGTCTTTGCGTTCCGTTGCAACGAGAAACACTATCCGTACTTAGGGTCCGAGGGTGTGTTATAAGAGTGAAGGTCAAATCTCACAGCTCCATTAGAGTAGCACAAAAGTTGGCAGTACCTTCTTTTATACTAATCTATCATTTCAAGATAACAGACGGCTAGCGCAAATATATTATGTAGCTTTGCTCGGATTTCCGAAGTAAAAACTCATTTAGGTAAATGTGACTTATAAAGAAGAATGACAAAATTTAATATCGTTACTGAGAAAATATTTTATTTTATGATGATTTCACAAACTACAAAACATACGAGCATGTAAAGAAGATTTGTTCACCTGGGCTGTTCTGTCAGCGTTTAAAAATATTGATTTATTTTTTTGGCTAGAAAAGTAACTTATCATTTTTGCTGCCATTACCTTAATTATTTCACATCAGCAAGAAAATATTTTGTAAAACCTAAGTGCAATTCTGTCACGTTTTACTTGAGTGCAACTTTTAATATATATATTTACGAAGCAGCTTATGTAAACATTTGTAATAAATTATGTAAACATTAAAATTTATATACTATTTTTTTTTGTTTTTCCAATTTCGGGTTCTTTCAGATAAAGCAATTATTCATATTGATATCGCAGTCTAACGAATTATTAGCGATATAGAAAATATTCATATTTTGTAGAATAATATTTCTGAGTATAGTAAAGGATACAATAATATTTTAACACCATTACTGCCAACAATTTAACTTCATTTTCTAATAATGAAGTTGTATATATCTAAGTTAATTTCTATATAACTGATCGACGTGGCGACATTATTCATATTTGTAGGATACAAAGCTTATTTTAACTGATCCCCCGGAATATCTCCGAACTACGAGCGTATTTATTTGTAGTTTAGGAATGATTACTAGGTGTTTGGACACAGGACATGTAGTTGGATGTTTTTATGTACACAACATTTCTAGAGATTTATTGTGTTAATTTCTGTCGTATAAATACTTTTTTCGTTATACTTTCTTTAACTCCGGAACTTTAATAAAATATGTTAACTGAAATAAAAATAAATGTTGCCCATTAATGTCACACTGTGTGCAACAAGTAATTTGAAGTCTCAAGTTTTGTCATTCTTGTCGTATTTTATGATAAAACAACAAATAAAAGAAATAGTCGCTGAAACAGTTCTTCATGGTAAGAACAATTTTACTTACTTAAATCATAAACCTTGTCGGTTATTCATAAATATTTTGTAAACTACATACAACTTTGTTAAGCCTAACGAAGTCATTATGTTTTCTTTTTAAGAAAAAAGAACTTATTATCTGAATGTGACTGCAGTAATATATCTCTACCAACACTTTAAGAGCTTAGAATAAAAAAGTTTCTTCTCTCTCTTCATATATCTTTCAACTTGCAACTGTTCTTTAGGAACTACACGCCTTACACTTGTTTCGTAAATTTGAGATCTATGTCGAACATCCAATGCTAAGCAGTCATAGTTCTAATCATAGTTTTTGCAACTGAAACAAACACGAAAACTGAAGTGACTTCAGTCAGAAATTCAATTAAGTTTTCAACTTTTCTAATTCTACGTTTGAAGCTAACCTAAGCACGTAAATGAAAGTTAACCGTATTAATGCTATGGAACGGAACGGTAGTTCATTAGTTTGAAACGCAAAGAATAAAAACTAACGTGAGAACTCAATGTTCAGTTAATCAACAGCCACGACATTAAGGAGACTGTGTCACTCTCTCCGCAAAATTATGTGAAGTTTAAACAGACCGACTTTTTGCCAACATTTTGAAGAAGCAGAATGTTGATTCCAAAGTTGTTTTTGAAAATAATCTGACGCTTTTCACCATTATATTACTGTTTAAAAAAATATTAAATTCGGAAAGATACAGTAATATACTTATGTTTTTGGTATATTTTAGGATGAAGAGATATAGGAATGAATTGATATATATATTATACTTAAATTGAATGTTTGTTTAGTTACGATGTTCCGTTGTTGCTTTCAACGCCGATTATACTTAGTTTGACGGACATAATAACTCACTATTGTTTGTCACCACAACTGTTTATTTGTAACGAGCATCCGCGAAAATGTTTCGGTTAATCTTAGACAACGGTTCTTGGCAAACGTTTCACAGACCCTGTGCGTTAGCAAAGACTTATAAGAAAAAGTTTAATCCATTGAAGCTGTATTTATGATAAAACGGGATTGTTGTGATTTCAATTTCTTCAGCTAACTTCTTCATGAAGAAACCCTTGTTTTTTGTAATTTTGCTGGAAGTTTATAAACTTTTGGCTTGTGAGTCTTTGTCTAGTTTCGTCTTTGTTCATTATCTTTTTAACAGTAACAGGAAATTTGCTGTGCTTCAACACAAATGCTTTTCGAAATAGAGAGTTCTCTTTCGTAACCATAGCCTTCATTATGGGATGGTTGCATTCGAAAATGTAACAATACTAATCAGCATGGAATTTCCATGACGTCAAGGTTGATTCATTCTGCACAATGCAATAAAATCAAATTAACGTAACAACACAAAATTGAAATAAAAAGCAAATTTATTTTATCTAGTGACTTTTTGAACGACTACTCTTCATCAGGCTTAACTTAATTTTCATATTTATTAACAAGCCCTGATGGTGGTAACTGTATCATCGAAACTAATCAGTTGAGACAACAAATAAAGTGTATATTTCCATTGTGTCAAAAAAGTCGAGTTTGTTTTGTACTTTAAAAAACTCCTCCACCTTCATCTAAAGATGAAACGTTATGTTGCAGATTGTGGTTATTTGGGTGGTAAGTGGAAATATTTCCGGTTTCTTTCATACCTGCACGAATTATTTAAACTATTTAATTTTGTCGTTTTACTCAGGCCCAAAGAAAATATTTTTCTAAAAATTCAAAGGCAGTGAGACGTTAGAATACAGAAGACCAAGAACAAACGATAATCTTTTAAGTAAATTTTTGGAAATTGGTTTATTGCTTGAAAACAAAATGAGCAACATTTTAAAACAGTCTATTCATATTTGTTGTAAACTTCTTATTTAAATTTTAAAAAGGAACAATTTTGTCATTAGTATGGTTACAGCCTCTTATGACTGCCCAGATTTTATCGAACTGATGCCTCTATAGATGTGTGACACATACAAATGTATTCCTTGAGGTCTTGCCTGGTCCATGACACCCCGAGACACTTTAATCTCTATCATTCACTTCAAAATGATAAATGTGACAAGATCGGATAATACCATCATAAGACATTGGCTGAATGATAAACTCTTGCACTTCGGATTAAATGTCTGATTTGTATACAAATGAATCAAGGAACTTATTGACATTATTTTAAAACAGTAATTTTCCTTGTTATAATTATACTATTATAAATTATGATTATATCTTAATTGCTTTATGCATCGTCTAACAGGAAAAAAAAATCAAATATAAAATTACCACTTTGAAAGCTTAATAGCCATTTATTCATTGAATAGCTAAGTAGAAATTTACAAAATATCGGTATCTTTCCCTTTGCGAAATGACATTATAAACCCAAAGATAACACGTTTTAGTATATTTGTAAGCACGATATTGGTGCATTTCGTACCACACATCATTACCACAAACTGTATTTTTTATCGCCCTCACTGTTCTAAGTATATTATAATCAATACAAATCTATGTTAGTGCTTCACCGTTTTTTATTTCTATGTTTTCACTACAGTATACATGAGGTTATTGAAAGCATTCAATGTAAACTTCAACCAGTAATATTTTACTAATGAACATTAACCATAAATTCACTGTACGAATTAGCATTAGTTTTCAAAATACAGTTTAACGACCAAGACCAAACTTTTAACTATAATTCTCAGTTGAACAAAACTAAAAAGAAAAAAGTGAAATAAAGCTATAACACATAATATAACATATACAAAAAAAATCGAAGAATATCATAATGTGATAATTTTTTTTATCTCTAGCACAGATGAATAGTCAAAAAATAAAGTGTTTTGTATGAGGTAATAGCACATAATCCATAAAAGCTGATGTGATATATATTTATATATTTGTCACTATACCTTTTCCTATTGGAAAGCCTTTGAGTTAGAAAAACTTTTTATCGAGACCTACAACTAATATTTCTTCAACTTTCAGTTTAGTACATATCAGCTTCAGCAGTGTTTTGAAACCATAACCACGAACAGTTGAAAACTGCTTTCGAGCAATTTTAACTCACAACAGACCAGGTAAATTGTTGGTAAGAAATACAAACGAATGAGGTTTTACATGATTTTAAATGAGGAAAGTGTCATCCATCAGTATATATTTATATATAGCATGAACCATTTTGCTCATATGAAACATAATTTCGTTTTGATCTATTTTTCTTATACTTCTATAGCATTTGACATTTGGAAAACTTTACGTAATATCATACACAATAAAGGCTTATTATAAGAAAAGTTTAACTTCTTTGTGCTTCAAACATTGCTCGGACAGATATAACTATTAAAGAATCATTCACACGTGTTATAATAAATCCATAAACTATTTTAACCTTAGTCTATAAAGTAAAACATGAAATTTAAAGCCATATGAGTTAGTTAATTTAAAATAACTCACAACTTTCCAAACATCGACTTTTTTCTTTGGTTAAAGTTTCAATTACCTTATAATTTCAATAAACTTAAGGATCTTCATTACTTGTTGTACTAACTCTGTTAACATGATCACGAAAATATGTTAAGTTCTAGCTCTGTTATCTTAGTCAAAACCAATATTTATAAAACATTGGTCAAAGTTATCCACCAAAAGGTCGCAACAGCTAAGACGATTAGATTACGGACTTAATTAACATAAAACTTATAATTTCGTAAGTTATAATAGATTCAGAGTAAAAGCTATTAATCTTTGATATAATGTAGACGAGCTGGAGCCATTTTGGATAAGACAACATCGATTGGCTGTTGATCATCATAAAGTGCTGGTGCTTCCAATAGGATGCAAGCAGAACCGATGACACAAGCCAATGTGAATATCCAGAGAAAAAAGCGATCTAAAACCATAGCAACAAACTGCCAGTTTCCTTCAATCTGAAAACAGTAAATTACAATTATATTTTAAAACTGTACTGTACAAGATGTATTATTAACATTAATACTAAATGATAAACGTACAAAAATAAATTTCAATAACAAAACATTATCTTAAAGACACTTATTTTTTTCAATTTCAGACTAAGTAACACTGAACAATTTTTGTACATGATAATATCGTTTTTTTTTCAAAACGCATCATGTTTATCATTGAAAACGAAGTGTCCTTTGACTGTTAAAAATGTGAGAGATAAATTGAGCTATAATACTTCTGAATCTGCTAAATGACAAGCAAAAAGTCGTTCCAATTTATTTAAAAGTTGTTAATATTGAGCAATACCCAATTACGTTGGAAGTTAAGAGGGGGGTTTGGATATTTCAATTTTAAACTCAAACCTATAAATACATTAAAATATTTCGTTATATGTTTTCTTTTTCTTTTTTATATTCTTGAATATCAAGTTTGGCCTCAGGAAAAAGACGTATTTCAAATTCTTCGTGTTGAGCCTATAAATGTTTTAAGTTACATGACCAAATATTTTTCTGCTTATTTTTAGATAATCTTTACCCTAGAACACTATCCAATTTTCTTTTTAAAAAACGTTCTTTAAGCATGCAAGCACCAATTTGCTTATAAATCCATATCTTTGCTAGTTACAGAGTCTCACACAAAAAATTAATAAAAGTTTCAGCAATATTGCAATTAATTTCATTAATTATTGCTTAAGTCTCCTACGTATCTTACGTACAAAATTAATTATTTTATCATTTTTATCAGTTCTTTACACTGCGGATTGTTATAGGAAAATTACTTAATATGATGCAATATATAGACTCTATCGATAGTGAACAGCATTTAAAAAAATCGCTAATCTGATAGTTAATTTCTCTATGGTGGTTACCTTTTTTTACTTAAATGGAATTCAGAACCAATATCGTAGTATCTCAATATCTTAATGACCTAAATTGTATACATATTTCTTTATTTATTATTCTTTCTGTGTATATCAGTAAAACAAATAAGTAACTGTAAACTAGCATTATGTATCTACCTAAAGTTTTTAATTATGTCATCTCACAACAAAAAGGAGCTAATATTAAAATTCACAAAAAGAGAAGAATTGGAATATATTTCGTACCTCGGAATAATTGTCTTGGTTTTCCATATGCTGAGCAATAAAATGAATGTTTAAGATTGCTCTCTCCTGTTCAGTACATAACCCTCTGTCTTGGAGAGATGAAGAACAGACATCAGATTCCAGATCTATCACGTCATCGCCAATACTAGCGACTGTGTAACTAGTTTCATGAAATGGACACTCATATTCTAAAAATCCAGGTTTTTTCAGAGGAGAAGGGTGTTTTATATCAGCCTCAGTAAACCTACTTTCTCCAACTTTTTCAGGCTCCCGAGGTCTCTTTATCATCAAGATTTTTGGCAAGATTTCCAAAAAAATTGTGCAAACCCAAGGATGCATATGATGTGAAGACGGCGAACGAAAATTCACGTTTAGAACCACAATGGTGACAAACACGGAAAACGACACCAAGATCATTGTAAAAAGCAGATATTTACCAAGCAAAGGAACTGTTAGGGAGGTCGGAGGAATGATTTCTGAAAGCAACAAGAAAAATACGCCTAAAGAAAGTACGATCGAGATACTTAGTGACACTTTTTCCCCGCTTTCTGATGGTAAATAGAACACTAAGACAGAGAGGAAGGAGATGGCCACACAAGGAATAATGAGGTTTACGGTGTAAAAAAGAGTCTTCCGCCTTAAGGTTATATTAAACGTGATATCAGGATACGGTTCATCGCAGCAACTGTAGAATTTCTCCTTGCGTCTTGCGCGCACCGCCATAATATCCCACTCGACGCTTAAATAGAAATCACTCAAGTCAATTCCTATTACAATGTCAGATTCTTCAGCGTCATCAGACTGGTGTTTATGTTTGAGGTCAACCTACATTATTGCCAAAATTAGAAACGAAAGTTAAAATGGTAAGAAATACATAATTTTACGTACATAAATCTGTGTTGTATAACATGTAACATGGTACAGCCACTGTTTTCATAATCCCTGAGGAAATCTAAACTAAGCGAGCAATTACTCAGACCTATAGCTGCAGGTTAATCATTTTCTTACAAAGATCATGTATATAATACTAACAATGCTGCTGTTTAAATACTTTTTACAAAATATTGTCTTATTTTGACCTGTTCTAACCTTTCTAATCCTGAAGATCCACATTTTAGTTCGGTTTTACTATCGATCTTTGGACAATATCTCATATGAATTTAGGTGTTTGTGGTTTAATATGCTATGTCGACATTTAAAAATAATTTTAAGTATTTTAAAATTAAACTGATGTTATACTAATTTTAAAATATAATTGTAAACTAAGCTTCAAAATATAGCTCGAAGATAAGCCAATTTTAATTTCTAATTATTTCTTAAGGAGAAAAATATATCATAAAGATTTTTACTTCATCAGCCATATTTTATAGTAATATGGGCTCCTTTATACATTCACATTCTTCAAAATAGTATTTTTTATCAGAGCGCAATTTCACCCCAATTTCAATGCTTGAAACATTAACAAATTTAGTTTCTAATCTTATAGAGTTTATTTACGTTAAAGAATAAACAATAATCAGTATTTAATATATATTAGGTCGTCAAGAAATCAAAGTCGCTTTTTTCAGATGAAAAACCCGAACAACTTATATATCAACAAAACTTTTATTAAATGAAATCGTCTCCATTCTTATTGTTGATGCTTTCCATCTTACAATCAGATTGTTAATGCCCTGATTAAAGAAATCACTTAGATTTGAAGCAAAGAAAATGTCAATGTCCTCATTAACACCTTCCACATTTGCATACATTTTCCCACTAAGATGGGGTTGCAGCTAGCGAAAAAGATGGTAATCTGATGATGTCATATCTGGTGAAAATGGTGGGTGTGAGAGAACTTCCCAACACAACTCCATAATCTTGTGGTGCGTCAAATGTGCCACATGTGGACGTACATCGTCGTGGAAAAGAAGGACACCTTTCCGATTGACGAGTGAAGGGCGTTTCTGATGAAGGGCTTGATTTAAACGTTCCAGTTGATGACTATAGATATCTGCATTGAAAGTTCGCTGTGGATTGAGAAGTTCGAAATGAATTACTCCTTTGATGTCCCACCAAACGCAAAGCATCACTTTCTGCGAATGGAGTCCAGGTTTTGGAATCGGAAGTGGTTTTTGTCTAGGACTGAGCCATTGTTTTTGGCGTTTAATATTCGCATAGAGAATCCATTTTCATCACCGTTGACAATTCTGTCCAAAAAATGGTTCACGCGCATTACGTGCCAGAAGAGACGAAGCAAAGTTCACACGTTGGAAAAGATGATCACCAGATAGTTCGTGAGGCACACAAACACCTTTTTTGTGGAGTTTTTCCCATATTCCTTTGATGTTTACATATTGTTTCATGAGAGACGTGCAATTTCAGGTCCATTTCACGAGTGTGTTGCCTTGGGTTAAACGTCTTCAGCGCATCAATATCAATTCCAACATGTCGGACCCTGCTATCACAGTTTTTAAGGCTAACGTTACCTGAACGAAATTTGCTGAACCATCGTTGGCACTTACGAACGTTCAAAACATTTCCATACTTCTTTGATATTCTTTATGCAACAGAGGCATTGTTTCCTTTCTTGTATTCAAACAGCATTACATGCCGAATGTGTGTCTCGTCGTGTGTCATCACAGTAAGGGCTTAGAGTATACTATACCTTACACATCGTCTAGACTACACTAACGTGACGTTTAGGCGGTTTGTTAACTATTATACGTGATGTACATTTTGGGTTGTTTTTTTTGGGGGGGGGGAGGTTAATGAAAGTGTTCCAAAACGGGACATTAATTTCTTGACGATTTAATACATTTTAGAAACCTAACCACCTTAATGACTTTCTGAAAACTTGAATATTAATGTTTTCACGTAAAAATGTTAAGAATAATACAAGTTGATAAAGCTCAAAATAATCTTTTTTATTTTCCTTATTTCTACTAAACGTAGTCAACATCTAGGTCCATTAATGTTTTAAATATTGTGAGGATATTAAAAGTTAAATTTCTCTACCGTTTTTCGAAATGAATTATACCTGTGTTTCAGACACTTCAACAAAATCTAGGCTTATACCTTTTCTTTATAGTTCTTTAAAAAAACCTCACATAACTACATATTTCATTAATATTAGCTATATACCGTTCTCAAATCAATTACAACTCACAGTATAGCCATCATATGTCCAGGAGCCAAATTTCATGGTGCAAGTTTGTTCATCAAATGGAAAGTATTGAACGTTCATCTCGCACGAGCTCTTGTAAATTGCCGGTGGTCGCCATATGACTAAACCGTCGGAATGAAGGACAGCTTTGGTCATAATGGTCACTTCATAGTTACCGTCGGCACTAGAAGTTTAAAAATGTAAAAAACAGTTAATGGTAATAATAATGCATTTCCATTTAAATTGAGACATATCTTTGTGCATAATAGTTATATTTTGTTATAAATAGTTCTGTCTGTTTTTAAGTTTAGCTATAAATCCATTTATATTTTACATGTGAACGTGAATTAAGTATTTTTATATAAGTCGAGTAGCTTTTACTTAAAGATACTGAATGTCAGATAAATAGAAATGTTCAAGGTTAACAGTAGAGCGAATTAACTTGTTGTACAAAACTATATCCGGTAGCCATATTTGTTCAGCTGGAACATGTAGTTTAGATAGTCCTCCGTATTCTTCTGGGTCCCAACGTAGTTTGTAATCTTTCCATTCCTATAAAAATATACCAGAAATGAATCAGAATTACTAGTGTTTTAAAAGGAAGCAAAAACACGAAGTTTTATTCAAAGGAAATTGGATGTCTAGGCGGAAATCAATGAACTTTGTATGAGTCGTAAGCATTAGAATATAAAGCATAACTTTTTCCATTTCTACAGGAGTTCAGGAAACACGTTGATAGATCATTTATAGCGAATGATTAGCTACTAATCTTTGTGGAAATTGAATTCACCAACTACCAACTTCCACGGTCAGATACAGTCATACAACACACAACATTTTTTTTATCGTTCCTAAATATATTTTTCTTTCAACCTGGATACTTTGACTTTTATTAACTACATAACATTCCCTACAAACGAAAAAAGTTATAGAAGAAAGATATAATAATAACAGTAAAAAATAATCTATGAGAACCAAATAAAATTAACAATAACCTCAAAGCATCACGTTCATTAGTTAGTCTTCGAGTAACGACTAACAGTTATTTTAACAATTCTGAAATCTGTGTCTACACTGTGAAAACTATGTTGGTATTTAAGGATTGAATTTATGGTTAGTATGCGCGAAAATACAACATTTAGTGTTTACTTCACAACAATCAGATAATTTCTTAGACATCCATGGTTAATTGTTTGTTTGTTTTAGCGCAAAGCTACACAATAGATTATTTGCGCTCTGTCTACCGCAGGGAATCGAACTTTGTATTGAAGCGTTCTAAGTCCGTAAATTTACCGCTGATCTACTGGGGGGAACCTCCATGGTTTTTAAATAGACTTTAATTTACCACTGATTTAAAAGAGCACTTAAGAAAGTAATGCTATTCACATTTCAATCTGATATGGCACTTTATGCGCGCATAGATTAAGCGCATAATAAAAATAAAAACTCTGCTAGGAATAATGGTTGATCCGAAAACTGCAATCTGAATTTTATTTTATTTTTATTTTTGCTATAGAGAAAATGCAGATATCTCTGTAATAAAATTACATTAGCATTTGTATTTAAGTAAAGAGTAAGATTTTCATCTACAAAGTTTGGTGGAACCAGAAACTACTCTAATTCAGTATGTAAGCAATCTAAATGATATGTTCCGTTAAATTTTGTTCGTATGAGCATACGTTTTTAACTAACTCAAAAGAGGTTTATGCATATTTTATTAGGTACAACTTATCTATTGACTACTAAATGAAATTGTTTAAAAGGTTTAAGTACACGAAAAATTTACGGCTTGTTAGTAAAATACGCAGAAAAATTAACATGTCCTAGATCCGCTAATCACAAACCTTCATTAGTTAATACGAAAACGACTTTTATTTCATTATTTCGTTGTTAAGCAAAAAGCTAAAGAATGAGCTAATAATATGTTGTCCCAAAAGTCACTAGAATAGAACAACAACAAAGTAAGTACAGAACCCTTCCTTGAGGTTTCTTAATAAATACAACAGTAATATTTTAAATGTTATCCTGAACTTTGAATAATATTTAAGTTGCTGTAGTACACAATAACACTGAATATAGCGAACTAATAATAGATACTCCTCTTGGCGCATCGCGTTGGTTATATTTATAGCCGTGGGGAGGTTTTCTAGAAAATTCAGTTTTACGTAACAATACTGGTTAAAGCGTTTATGTGTACAGATATATTGTTGATTCTTAATCTTGAGAATCTACAACTTTGGAGAATAGGCGGGAGTTTCGCAATACCTATCTAACAGTATAAGCTATGTATGTTTCTAAATATAAACTTAGTCAAAACAACGTTCATATTAAAATAAATACATAACAAATTCGTTACATGATCTAAACTTTTCTGTTTGTTTTCACAGAGTTTGAAGAGTCAAATTATGACAACGAACGTTTGGGTGGAGCAGGTAATCTACATTTCTTGAAATTTAGTAGAGATTAAAGTAAGTAAATGTATTAATTATGAAATTACGTTTATTTATATAAAGTTTTCTTTCTAGTCTGGAACTTCCTTGATATCTTATCGAAGGTTAACGATGAGCGAGTTGATTACGAGTTGACAGCAATATATTTCACTTAACTGGGAGCTAGCTAGCTTTGTCCTTCACTGATCACACGCCAATTTTTCCACGGGTGACGTTAGGTAATGTTTTCATAAAAGTACTAATGCCCGATGAGAATCCACTGTTAAATGAGTTGTAATGTTCGAATTTTGTAAATGCTCCTGGTCAAATATCTTAAGTTTCCGATTCACAAGCGTTATAACAATCACAGTTATAGCTTCCAAAGTTTATAAAATGAGTAGCCTAAGAGTTGGCGGTGGGTGGTGATGACTAGCTGCCTTCCCTCTAGTCTTACACTGCTAAATGAAGGACGGCTAGCGCAGATAGCCCTCGTGTAGCTTTGCGCGAAATTACAAAACAAACGTAATGCTTTCTATTGTATTATCTAAAAATTTCGAAGGTCATGAGAATATTTATGACTAAAATAATATTTCGTTTGAAATTTATGTATGATTCACACCAAACCTTAAAATTAAATTTACGTGTATCAGTTTGTTTTAGAAATGTTTTCAATCATTTTTAATCTGTATAATTAAAAAGTTCTTATGATCATTGTTACGTATTGCAAATTTGAAATACTCCGAAGCCGATATTTTAGTTAATTTACGCTATTTGCCAACAAGATTCACACACACCGTTTTCGTTTTATACACAAATACGTTTTAGTATATATACAACAGTACAATTTACAATGACAGTTATTACAAATAGTTACTACAAACTATGATTTATAAACAAAAGTTTCACAAACTAACAAACAAACCAGCTCAAAAATAGAAATCATTACAATTCTGCATTCAAGTAAAACAATTATTTCTTTTTAATTCACATATAGTGGTTTTCTGTTTATCAATTATATTCCAAATTGTGTCAACAATTTTTCTAGATCTGGTATTTAAAACATATATTTCATCATGATTACTGTTGTTGCTTCATATCATTTGTTAAGTCAAATTTAGTTTTAACCTATAATAAATTATTTGTTTTCGCTTGAATGTGAATTTATTATAAGAAATTGCCTTCCGCGAACCGAAAAGTATAAGAAGAATAGTACGTAATCCTTTGGCCTGGCATGACAATCTGTGGGTCGCAGGTTCGAATCCTCGTCCCACCAAACATGCGAGTCCTTTCAGCCGTGCGGGCGTTGTAATGTGACGGTCAATCACACTATTCGTTGGTCCAGAATTCATAGTCCAGTCAACTTAATGATAAAAAAGTGTTTTATTTCTTCAAGTTTAAGTACCAAAATTTCACAGCCTATTTATCTACGGATAGGCCTAACTTTACAAATGAACAACGTCTCAACAGAAATTCTACTTACACTTAGTTGCTAATTTCTTATCTGTTGTATCTTGCTGTAAACACAAACTCGGCACTTACAGCACTGAACTAACAAATTGGAAACAACAGAGAAACTGTTTAATAATTACTCGTTAATTATCTGACTAATAGACTCACTAAAATAATAATTCATTACTTAAGACTCATTGTATCTTACTAACAGACTCAAAGATCAATAATCATGCATTTAACCTAAATCTCATTTTGTACTACTCAAACTTTTATAAAAATTGTAGAAAGGTCCATAAGTTAAGCCAATTTTCATTACGTGATTTTGAACTTCCCTCTGGCCAAACGATAATACATATATCTAATTTAAAAACATAGCCTACAAAACTATTATGTGATTAAAGCCATAATTTAGTAGCTTATAGAAAATATGATAGCATATAAGTTTCAGAAATCGTCAAAGTAACTTTAAAAATAACTTATCTCACTCTTAAACAAAACAAAAGAGGAAATGTGAATAAAATCATACTTAGTATGAACGTTTCTGGCTAGTGTTATAAATTATTTACTATTTTTATGTTTTATGTAACATTAGCTAACAAAAAATATTTACCATGCCATATGAATGTCTTATATTAAAATACTTTATCTTATCCTGTATATTTTAATATGTAATTAATAAGGCAGAATTACTATAGCCTATATATTATATTACATTACTGTTACACTATACATAAGGCCCGGCATGGCCAGGTGGTTAAGGCATTCGCCTCGCAATCTATGGGTCGCGTGTTCGAATTCCCGTCCCCCAAACATGCTCGCCCTTTCAGCCGTGGGGTATTATAATGTGACGGTCAATTCCACTATTCGTTGGTAAAAGAGTAGCCGAAGAGTTGGCGGTAGGTGGTGATGACTAGCTGCCTTACCTCTAATCTTACACTGCTAAATGAGGGACGGCTAGCGCAGACAGCCCTCGTGTTGCTTTGCGCGAAATTCAAAAACAAACAAATAAACAAACATTGTGACATACTTCTTGGAGTTCTAGTTCACCGAATTAGTTTATTACATATTGAAACTATTACAATGTGTTTTTTCAAAATTACTATTCAATATAATCTTAAACATATAATGTTTCAAATATACCGTTCTATAGATAATAAACATCTAGTTAGCATGTTACAACCTTTTACAAATTTTAGCGACGATACAGTGGAAGAATGAATTTAAGGAAAAATGAAACATTAAACAGAAAAAGATTCAAGCAATCTGCGTAAGTTTCAGTCATAACAGTTTTCGCTTTGAGTAA